GGGGGGGGTTCATGTTGCAAACGGGGTGGGGGGTGTTCGAGGGTCCTAGTCGGGCGTTGGTTTTTTAGTGTCGAGCAGGGGCTGGGGGTGACGACGAAGGCGAAGACGACAATGAAGGCGCACGCTTGTTTCGAAGGAGTTGCGACAATCAGATCGGTGCACTTCGGCAAGCTGCTAATAGGACGGAAAACACAACAACCCCAAGGAGCTGCAAACAAAAAAACGTCCCAGCCCGAAGCGATAGGGAACAGGAAAAACAAAAACTCTGGCATCACTTCGGAAGCTCGACCAAATCCCAGAGTCCTCGTACCATGACTACACATACCTCTAAAAACATTCCTTCCGGGATCTATTGTCTTTCCACGAAAACGTCCATTCAAAACCACAGGATATCACGCACAAAATAATTCCGTGGCAAGCGATAGCCCTCGCAACCAAAAAAGCATCTCTTGCGTCAGGGAATCTGCGGGTCCGCCCTCCGCGTGCGAGACGCGGAGGCTACACGAGAAACCGATCGATCGATCGATCGATCGATCGATCGATCGATCAATCAGTCTTTTGTCCCACCTGTACGAGACCCTTCTTGGACTTGCTGACGCCACCTACGCCGCCCTTGTTGATCACGCGGATTCCTCGCCCGCAGCTGCTCGCCGGTGGTTTGACGATCCAGATCGCCCGCGGCTCCGCCTCCACCGCCTTGAGCCACGCCCGTCTGTCGACACGCGCCCAGGGAAAACGAGAGAGAGAGAATAAACACTCGCTTCCAGAAACAGAGGTGGGACGATACACACGTACTGATGCACGCAGTACGTCATACGACCGCTGATGTTTGTTGTTGCTGACGTTGTTGTCGACGTGGTCGTTTCGTACTAATTGGCAGCTCCTCTTGGAATATTAATACTTCGAAGTAGGATGCAAGGCAATATTACGGTGTTCAAGGGGCGGTTCAGTCGCGAGGCACATCAAAGTACGACGCACAGAAGTGCCTCCCACACAACGTCGCTTGTTTTCGTTTCTCCACCGGACAGGAGCGACAGAAAAGGAGTCCACCTCCGAAACCTCCGAAAAATTTCAAATTATGTTCAGAAAGGCATCGCCGCGCAATAACCCAAAGGCTCAAATCACTGCGAACTATCGCTGATACTTCCTGCAAGCAATCTTGGCGAGCGATATCGCGATCGCAGGGAAGTACGGCAAGATCTACCTGCCACGTTACAACACCTCACCCCGCAAAAACTGTGGTACTGAATGCTCAATGTGTGCCAAAGTCTTCAAGGCCAGTACATGTACCCTTCTTCCGTTTGGGGTGTCCAGGTATGTTCGGTGGCGTGTGCCATCTTCCTGAGTGCACAAGCCGTGCACTCGCGCCAGACAACAACAACAGCAACAGCAACAACACTTCACACCTCCTCTCGCTCATGCGGTTCTTTCCCACCCACCTATCCCCCGGCAGCACGAAACCGTCTGGGGTGATATCCACCAAGCTTCCGGCAGCCGGCCCCTCCGCCGCACC